TAAACATAGCTGGACTGAATTTGCATTGTCTCTTGGAGTTCCTTGGGCTAGGCCTGACATACAGTACTCATTGCTATCCCTACCCATAGAGATTCACAAGCAACTCATATTGAAATAGATATCCCCTTCTGTCCTCATTTTTTGATGATGCCAAGCATCTACCCTCTTACATTCTGCTTGATGAGAGGCCTCCGAGGAGGCTGATCCTATGCAAAGATTAGCACTGAAAGATGTTATTCAGGAAGCAAGACCAAGCAGGCTCAGAAACAGAAAGGTTCCACACATGATTACGACTTTTCCGTGCCACCCATTAGAGCATGCCCTAACATCTTCAGATTGCTGTGACATCATGGTGGGAGATGATCTCAAAGGAAATAGCCAGGAGGAGTCCTTTGCCTGGGAAAGAGATTAACCTGGCAGTCCTGCAAGATAACACCATCCATGAGTACTCCGGAAGCTCTTGCTGGATTTCTTGCGCAGCCTGCCCATTAAGCATGTCATCCCAGCCATATCACCGCTGATATAGTAATTCTCAGCTCTGAACGACGCTTGGTGCAGAATGATTTGAACAGGGATTCTATGCAAGCACTCACTAATTTAACTGGATGAAATTAGCTTGGAACACTGAATTAAGGCACTGCGTCAACGTTCATCTCCACAGGGAAAAATTCTATGACTGGCTCTACGCTTCCTGATAATTGGTGGCTTGTTTAAAGTAGTTTTTTTAAGCAAACATAGTACTTGGTCCACACGGTATTCTAATCCATATAGCAGAAGCAGAAGCAGAACCAGCTTAGTTTTAGGCCTTCCCCTTATGCATTTAAGATTGCCACCCCCTGACTTTGCAATAGGAAACAGATAGATATGCTGAGCTCAGACAGAAAGCAGTGTCACATTGGATCAGCTTCCTAAATAAGTTCCAGGGCTAGTAATAAAATTCCCCGATGAATATAAACAGGCAGCCGGAGCTATTCACGAGTGTGCCACCCAATGGCTTGAAAGGCAAAGTATAACTTTTTAGCTTAATTTTAACCTTTTGTAGTTTTTAACTTACATATTTTTTCTAGGATGTTATAGTTTTTTTAATCTGTAACGCCGCCTAGAGTCACTGGTAGAGTGAGATGGGCAACACATATAAATTTGAAAAATAAAATAAACAAAAGTAAGATTTTCATCTGAAGCAGAGCAACCTGTGTTCCAAACTATCTTGCTCATTCTGCTACATCAGTAAACACTCCATTTTTGCAACAAGAACTAGAAGGGACCAGCACATCCCTTATCTGTCAGATTGTTTGCTTTCCACACTAGGTGGAGAAGAAATTTCTTTCTCCAGAGTGGGAAGGATACATAGACGACACTGGCACATCACAATGTGGGTCTGTTTAATCATGGTTAGTTAAACTACAACAAACTGTGGCTTAGAAATTTCAGTGGCTGAGTTTGCTCAATGTGCTCAGCCCAAAATGTACAAGCTACATTTCAGAATTAGCACATGTTTGAATTCAGCCATGATGTGCTGGCAGAGGAAGACAGATTATTCTACCCTATCTTTCAACAGTCTGTTCTGCAAAACAAACAAAACCTGGCTTATTAAGGAAAAGCAGTTCTTGGACTTCTGGAGGAAGAAATGGTGGACTGAAGACGGCTCTACAAAAAGCGGACCCCAGTGAAGAATGAAGAGCCGGTGAGTAGACCGGCTTTTTGATAATTCCTCTCTGAACAGAGAGGCCAGGAGGTCACCCACAAGTGTCCCAGACTGTTGCTCCTCGTTTTAGGAGATGTTTTAGAAGAAATGGCAGAAGAGAAACAAGTTTTATCTGATAAGACAGAGACAGAGTTGACACTGAAAGTGAATCTACCAATGACAGGCTACAAGAATGACGTGGAAAAAGATGTTTTATTGGACATACAAAAGGAATTGGTTGCTGCTTTAAAAATCAAAAGGGAATTACAAATAATAAACCGAGAGAATGACCTGGATAATTCTTTTATATTGGGTTTACAAAAGATGTTTGTTAAAGCTTGGATGAATTTTGTGAGAAGGGATAAAAAAGAAATGAAAAGAAATCAAGTTCTATGACATTACTTGAATGGACTAAAGTTTAAGACTATTAGAAGTAAAGGGAAGGAATATAAAGTTGGTTTATTTGATCAAGGTTAAAATAGATATTTTGTTATTTCTGGCAATCCTTAATGGACTTTTGCTAATACCAGGACTGAAATGACAATGCTTTTTGATTTGTTTATATATAAGAGATGGGACATGGGATGAAGAGTTCACTGGTTGTAAATTAAGAGGTGAAAAGTTACTAAAATTATTTATTCTTGTTGTGAGGAAAGTTGGAAGTCACTTCTTTACATATTTCTTTTGTTCTTTACTATATTCTTTTTTCTTTTCTCTACTTTTTTCTTTCCTTTTCCTTTGCACTTCTTACTCTTTTTTTCTACTCTTCTTTCTTTCTTTTGGTTTGTATTAGTTTTTACTATTGCAATTATAATCATTAGTAAAATTATTTTTTAAAAAAGGAACAGCAGCTTTTGTTTCAGTTCCAGATGCACAGAAGAGGACTCCAAAGCTAACAGAGAAATGCAGAATCAGGTCTTTGCAAATTAGTAAAACAAACACTGTAGGCCACTAGCTTTAACAGGCAGCTTTTCTTGGACACAATTTCTCTGCAAGGCAACTGACACATACCTTGCATAAAGAGTGTTGTGAGTTTCTTTTGCCATAAGTTGTAAGCCCAGGAAGATGTGATTTTTTCCCTCTGAGCATTAAGCTTATTGCAAGAAATTCAAACAAACATTTGTATGGAGTGCTCCAATTTTTACACCAAAGACCCATTATTTTAAAGAGCAAGACTGCTACGATGTTAGTCGGAAAACAGCCAGAAACTGCAATAAGGAACAGCCAGAAGGGATCCTGCAGAAAATCACCTAAGACAGATTCTCATCGCCACCAACCACTGTTTAGAAAAGGAACATGACTGTCTTCTTGCAGATCCCTTGATTCTCCATGCAATTATTTGGAATGCCATTTTAACAACACCAAGATTATCAGTTATGGTGAAACTGATCCTCAGGCATACCTGGGAGACTTCATACAAAAGCCAAGGAAGAAAATATACTATTACCAACCCTAATGTGGATTGACTGGTTCTGGATTAGCATGTTTTGTAAACCCAGCCACTGTGGTCTCATCAAAGACCCACGGTGAGCAGCGTGCACAGACACAGGATCAGCAGACTGGCCCAGTCTATTTCATTGGGGAAAAAAAGGCCTTTTTTCTCTTCCTTAAAACCTGGGCATAGGTCAGATAAAATTTACTTCAGGAGGCTGGATGCAGTTTGCAGGCCACCTGGCCACTTTCCACATAGGATAATGGTTTTTTAGAGAGTGGAGTTAGACTTTTAGATGTCCTTGGACTGGAAATAGCTTTGCAGGCGTAGTAACCTAATTTCTGAAGCAAGGTGAACAGGCTAAAATGGAACAACCTGATTAAGCAGAAATTAGCTGGATCAAATGACCTGAATAAGCCCCCTGTGAAACATAACTGCTGGGGCCTTTCAGTGGGCAGTGAGTTCAATAATGGATTTCATGAAGAACATCAAAGAACATCAGGCTTGCAATTTTCCTACATACATAAAGGAGCATCAATGAGTAGCAAAGATGGGAAAGAAACTGGAACTTTGTTACGCTTTCCCCTGCAGGAGGATATGGTCTGGGGAATGACTGAGGCCTGAAAAATGCTCTGATCTGGAGCTGTCGAAAGCTTTAGGCAAACTGAGAGGAACACATTTTGTTAAAGGGCTCGTGCAAACAAGTTCTCCAATCTCATTTCAGTTCTAAATGGCAGAAGGATGGCTCCTCCTGCTGAAGGTGCAAACAGCGAGGGGAATTTTCTTAAATCTAGATGACGTCAGCACAACTTTTTGCTCAAGACATCTTCCACGCTATCTCAGCTGGATGGAGAGGGTCGCAAAGAACCTCTGGGAGACCCTGTTTCATGCAGCTCCTGTGGCCACTTTGCCTCCAGCAAAGCAAGTGGCCACGCAAACACCTAGGCAGAGGAGAGGGCTCCCAACCAGCCACCTTCCAGAGCAACTGTCCCTCTTTAAACGACCTAGGTCATCGCTCAGATTATCCCAGCATCTCCACACACTGAAGGGAGGTTCACAAGTTGCGCCAATCCATTGTATAGTTTATTTAGATTTTGTTTAATACGACACGTGAATCCAATCAGCGTGGCTTATTTAACAATCTATGGTTCAAGCAAACCACAGCTTTGCTTGATGCACAAGCCAGGTCTAAAATTCCTGTTTCCAAAGGTGCTGGAAGCAACCCTTAGCAATGCCACTGATTTTTTTCTCTTGCTTTCTTTCATATCTCATTTCCAAACCCACCTCTTCTATTCATTCACCCACCAGAATCCTAGTCTTTCCATACCCAATTACATGGAGAGGTAGCATATAGCCTCTTCTGTTCATTTGTACCACTGAAACGCAAACTGGTAATTCCCAGGGTAGAAACCTGTAGTTTGTTCTCTTTCAAACATGTGTTATTATATCTTTAGGTTTACATCCTGCCTTTCGTTCAGGAGCTAAGGGAGGCGTAGACAGTGTTCTCTCCTGCCATTCTTCCCCACAACAACAACCCATGAGACCGGTTTGAGTTGAGAAGTGAGTGACTGGCTCAAAGTCCCCCAGTGGGCTGTGAGGGCACTTGAACCTCAATTTCCTCCATGCCAATCCACCACTTTCACTGCTCTACTATGTTGGCTCTCATTTTACCACACAGAGATATCACTCATCAAAAAGAAGCAGCCCCTTGGAATTAGGATAGCCTTCTGCAGCCCAGCGGCTCCAGGACGTTCCTCCACCATAATGCCCTTCTGGATGGTAGCCTGTTTGGGTTACAAAGCTAATTCAGAAACCCCTCCACTCTTGAATAGGAGTATAGAGTTAGATTAAAAGCCTGCCAATTGAGCAACACATCATCTTACGTACAGGAGGGTTAACCCACAAGAACAGAAAGCTGAAACAAAACAGAGCTCATGCACACAAAGTGGGAATAAGGAGGTAAAAGGAAGAACCTAAGACAAAGCTTTTTGCTGCCTTCAAGCTGCTGCTGCCGCCTGGGGAAATTATGGCTGCATTACTGAGAAGGCTTTTAAGCTCTTGGAATGATTTGGATTTATGGTGCTGAGCACTGAGGGCTCATGGGTTGGTTCTGAGCATGCAGAGGGATGCAAGAGATGCTAGGCACAGAGGGAGAGGGGCAGTATGAACAATGCCATCCTTTCAATTTGCCAAGAACTGAAATGCAAGTCTAGGGTCTTAAGATAAATTACACAGGAAAAAGAGAAGATTGTATAGCGAGGATGATCAAACAGAGGTGGGCAGTTAAGCCAAAGCACAACCCAGAACATATGCTGTGTTAAAACAGAGCAATTTCTCTCCCCGCCACCAAGACCACAACTGGCAATGAAACAAATGGGTTCCCTTTGGGAGTCTAGCAACCATAAGTCCTTAGTCATTTTGCAAGATGGGCAGCTATATACATGGAATCAAGTAAATACAATAAACATAATAAAATCCAACTGACGAAATATCAGCCAGCTTTATTTTCGAAATATGGCACAGGAGCAAGGCATCCTGTCTAGGATCAAGGAAAAAAATACAACCCGATCAGAAGGAGAGATCTAGGGACTCCATTTTTAAACATACTCCTGAGGAACGAATGGGAGATGTAAGGACAGGATGTTGCAAAATCAGAATTCAGACCACCTTAAAAGCCCTTCCCTAATTCAAGGGAGGGGGGAGGCACACTATTGCTTCTTCCATGTGATGGGAACAAATAAGGGACCAACAGCCTGTCAAATGCAAATATAAAACTTAGATGCATTTCCTGTAACAAATAACATGAAGCTCAGATCTTGGTATATAGGAGCAGCGTAGAACACAGAAACAAACACTGTCCCTAACATAAAATCAAAACAGAATTTTCAAATAGTGTCCAGGCACTATGACTGACAAAAGTTTCTGAAGGAGAAAAATGGTGCCCTGCATTTCTTATTAACCCACAATTATCTCTGGTTAAAGAAGGTGACAATAACCTGCAAAACCTGTTTGCCAAAGATGCAAATAGACAGGTATCACAGCTGAGTTGTGCCTTTCTTATATCGCCTTTGAAACAGTGAAAATGACTACTGCCTTCCAGACTAGCAAAACAAACATACTCCAAAAGAACCTGTTTGAAAAACGTCAAACACTGATCCATGTTGAGCCACGGTTTGATGTGGACTGGTGAACATCAACTTCAGGTCCCAGGGAGGCTCTTTCAGATAACACTGCACCTCGTATGAAGATGCTAAAATGACCGCATCCTTTTTTATAACTTAAATTAAGCTTTATAGCTGTCCACAGACTCATCGTTGGGTTTTCCACCACGTGTATTTATGAGCTGTCGTATACCTAAATGTAGCCATTCTCTGCAGCTGGAGAAACAACTTGTTAAGACGTTGCTCATGTATAGCTTCAGCTGGAACTCTCTTTTCTCAGCTTCTCTAGAACGTCCTCTGGAGTCAGTGGTGCCAAAATTTTCACCACTTTTTCTCGAGATTTACTCCCCTGTTTTAAAACACAAGCAGAGAATTTTAGGGATTCCTCATGTCAAAAGGGCCCAGATATACAAGTATTCCAAAAGCAGGTACTATTTGTAATTTCTTGATACTTCATCAGTGAAAGAGGTACGCAGTATTAAAATATCAGTAATTTGGAACAATGATGACAAAACTGAATTATGCTATAATCAAGGGCTGTCACATGGGTGCATTTTTAATCTCTATGTGCTCCAAAAGGCTGCTCAAAAAAATGGTAACCTGAATATAATTAAAGAGTTATATCATTTTCAAAAAATGCTCAGACTCTGATAATGCATTTGGCGTTGAGGGATACTTAAGGCTTTAGTTAAGGATTGTGTTTCATATGCAATCTCTGCCTCCGTTATATTCTTATTGCACCTCTTGTTCATGACAATTTTGATTTGCTATTGGCTGCCTAGAATGATCCCCCAATACTACAGGTAGTTCTAGTTTAATATCCACTTGTTCAGCAACTGTTCGAAGTGATGATGGCACAGAACAAGGACAACTTATGACCAGTCCTCATAGTTGTGGCCATTTCAGTGCTCCCGTGATCATGATTCAGGCACTTGGCAATTTGTGCATTTATGATTGTTGCAGTGTCCTGGGGTCACATGATCACCATTTGCAACCTTCATTGCCAGCTTCCCACAAGCAAAGTCAATGGGGAAGCCAGTAGGAGGTCGCAAATGGCAATCACGTGACCGTGGGACACTGCGACTGCATGGAATTCATCTAACGATAGCAACTGGAACTGCTGCCGTAAGTTGGCACAGTCACGTGACATTCTGCCTTACAACGCTGCTCAGTGATGAAATTCCCAGTCCCAATTACCGTTAGTAAGGACTGCCTCTAGAAGGATGAGGCAGAAATAAAAATAGTTCACAGCAAGCCTAACATGTGGATCTATCTTACAACTTCCCATACAGAGCCTCTCAAATATATATTATTGGTCCTTCTTTTTCTTGTCTCCTTTTGCAGACCTCTGGTTACCTAATGCCTAGTACTGAACAGTTTTGGAAGCGCAACACTGAACTTCTCCCCTGCCCTTTTAATTTCAAAAGTGCTCCCCATTATTCCACCTGCTGGTAGGAACAAAGTTAGCTAAGGGGTCTTTTCCCATGAATGAGCAGAAGAAGAGTCAAGAGCTCGAGTTGAATCATACAAAAATGCTGTACCTTCTCCAACACCACATCACTTTTCTTGACTTCAAGGACTTTAGAGAGGTAGCGACAGAGCTCTGCGTTGGCTTCCCCTTCAGATGGAGGTGCTGCAATGGCCACACTTACCGCATCGGTGGTCAGGTCTGCAACAAGTAGATTAGGATGTAGCTATCACTTCAGCAATATTAGCCTATCCAAAAGGTGGGTTGAGCTATAACCAATATGCAAATGACAACTGGCTCTATTTCTCTTCTTGAAAATCTAATTTAGAGGCAGCAGTGGAAGTGCTAATCCAAACCCTGATTCTGGTAAAAAGCTGGAGGAGAATAATAACATGATCTCAACCTAGAAAAAAAAGGAAGAGGCAGCTAGGGAGTGGTTTGAAGGACTATGTTCCTGCTCTGAAGAAATGGGTCTGTTGTCTAGACATATCTGGAGTCATGATTCATCTATGACAGAAGTCCTATTCAGGGGTTACCTTCCTGCATTCCATCCAACATGCAAGGAACTGTCACAGCTCTCTCATAATTGTCGGGGGATGTAAATGAAGAGTTGGTCTCTAAGCACACAGCATGGCTATCTGCAGCTGGAAGACCGGCTTAACAAACCATTTGGAACCCCGTACTGGAGGGTTCCCGTTGACCTGGAAGCAGTTGCATGTATATGAAGGCCCCTCATGGCAGACAATCCCAGTGTAAGCAAGGAAACCATCTTTTCCCTTATATCATCAGTGTGATAAGGAAAAAAGAGGGGCTGCTCTCTCTTCTGCACCCACTGGACTGGACATCAAAGATACACTTGATCAGGGCTACAGTGAGCCTTTGGTTGGGCTTGTGTCCCAGCTGCATTCTTCTCTGAACAAAAATAGACTAGTTTTAATGACCCAGACTCTCATAATCCAAAGGGTAAAGTACCATAATGATTTCTATGCTGGGCTTCCTCTGCTTACTGCATTGTCCTAAATTACTATTTTTGGATTATGACTGCAATTCCCTCATGTTTTGGTTTGCAATCCATCTCCATCTCCAGTGCCAAATCAAACTGCTTATTTGAGATTTAAAGACGCAGCTAGAGACTCACCTATCTGAAGGATCCCCACTCTCCAAAATGCCTCCCATAAATAAAGACCAACATCAAGAACTACTTCAAGTGCTTCTATTATCTGAAGTGGAGCGGCTCCTGCAAAAACTCTTCTCTAGCTATTTAAGCAATAAGCAAAAGCCTTCTTACTTTTCCAAACTATTTGGATTTGTTTCTTCCCATTTGTGGCATTTACCGTTGTGCTGATTTTTTCAGATCTGTATATTTCCTTCCAGATCTATTTTTTTTAAAGCAAGCAGGGGGGCAGAACTCTTTTAGCATTTTCCTACCTGTTCTAGAACTTGGCATGGTTCTAGAGTAGCACTTCCCTTCTGCTCTAGACTGCAGTCTTTTACTATCCATGGGGAGAAGCCACGGGAACAGATGGAACTGGAGAAAAAGTGCTGACAGACGGGTCAGTACAAGTGTCTCCATAACCTTTTCAGATTAGGGCAGTGTTTTTCAACCTTGGCAACTTTAAGATGTGTGGACTTCAACTCCCAGAATTCCCCAGCCAGCAGTTGAAGTTGCCAAGGTTGAAAAACACTGGGTTAGCGGATACATTTGGACTTTTAATAGCACATTATGGAAGTGCACACAGAACAGTTGCTAAGAAGGGTACGGCCAATCACCAACACCCATATCCCAGGAGGCAAAAAAAGGACTGGGTGCAGACACTCCCCTCTGATCTTCTAAGAAGGTCTCTCCAATCACCAACCAACTGCCCTGAGTTCAAATCATACAAACATGCTATAAATATTTCAAGACAACCCCCACTCCGGAACCATTTCACGGAGGAAGCCTTGCTCGGGTATGGGGCAAAACTTCTGCAAAAACCCCCATCAATGCTGCATATGTATTTATGCTGTAGCTTACCTGTTACAGCATTTTGTTTAGATCCTGGTTTGGCATAAACAGAGATAACAACAGAACCACTTTTATCAGTTGCCACAGGAACCGGAGGAACAGAAGGCTTCACGAAGTCCTTAGTCTGTGCTTTCCCCTTAAATCAAAACACAAAAATCAGCACCATCAATCCGAAGGTATATATATATATGTGTGTGTGTGTGTGTGTGCGTGAATGTATCTATATATATCCCCCAGAAGTTTCAATGCAAATTTATCATTCCACCAAAGTTGATCAAAATCAGAAGGGTAAAAAAAAGGCCTACAACCATCTTCCCCAATCACCATTTAGAACAGTCAGGCTGCCCAGAAGAGGCGAGATACATCCCTGGGGCTTTGAACTCCGCATCGCATTGCCATAGTTTGTACTAACTCAAGCAAGCTGTAACTTACACATAGTTGGGAACGCTCCATGGAGCCCCAGGCATGCTACAGGAAGCACACACTAGCTTGGGTTAACAAGGCTGCAGTCCTCTGCATGCTTACCAGGAAGCATTTCATACAGCAAGACTTGCTGAATAACTAAGATACAGAAGTTTAATCTAAGAGCGTTATGGGGGTAACACAAAGGGGCATCTTTATTATGCAGAAATGATCTTGGAGGAAATTCCAATTTTCTTTTTTTTTCCTTCTGCACACTTCTGGGTTATGGATCCCCCATCCTAAAACATGGTATGAACCAGAAAGTGCTATTGCAATTCCAGTCCTCTGTGGATATAAAAAGGTCTCTTTCTCTGGAAAAAGCCTGCCTATAATTTGCCCAGGAAATTAGGACTTATCCATTTAATTTACGGCCAAAACCATCAGGAAGGACTTCAGCCGGACCGTGATTCTCTGCTTATTGGCTACCACGGCTGTTTGATTATGGAGAAAATCGATCTATGGGGTGGCTGAGTCAAAAACGACATGATGGCACGTAACTACAGCGACCATATTTTCTTGGAAAAAATAAAGGACAAACCTGAAAAAGGAGCAAATCTGAAAGAGGTTCCTAAGGATACCCCCCCCCCCCCAAAAGGTTATGTTTATAGCTTTGCTTTACAAAGGAAAACTCAGGAGCGAAACCAGGAAAATAATTAAATAAATCCAAAGGACCGCTTTCTGAAATAAAGGACCGTCCTTTATAATAAAGGGCGGATGGTCCCTGTGCACATAATCCATTCATCCATCCCTGTCGTCTGAGCAGAGAAGCGCGAAGCCACCTTTTCGGTTCCCACGGAAAACGGGGCGCCCCGGCAGACCCACAAACGCCGAGCAGGAGCCAAGGCTGCCTCCCCGCGCTGCACCGGGGCCCTCAACTAGCCCAAGGGGCCGTCCTCCCCAGGGGGCCGGATGCTGCTCCCTTGCGCTTCATCCAGGGCTCGGGTCTCTCCCAGGCCGCAAGAGAAGCGCCTCCAGGGGCGCCGGACTACAGCTCCCATCATCCCCGCCAGTGGGACCAAGGGGGCGGCGGGTTGGGAAGGGGGGGGTTGTAGTTTCAAACGCGTGCTCGAGGCCGATAGCCTTTTCAGCGGCGTCCGCTCCCCGGGCCTAACCTTCCGGGGCATGGCACGTCCCCGTCCCGCGGCAGCCCAAACCGGAGGCCCCGAACGGCAACGGAAAGCGGGAAGGGCCCGACCCAGCATCGCGGGGGCTACGTCACTTCCGGCCCCTCCTTCCGGTCGTCCCCTCTCCTAGAGATAGAAGGGTAGAGGTGGATTCTTTCAGCGGCGGGTCGGTTGCTAGCAAAAGCCACGGAGGAAGCCGAGAGGTTGTAAGAGCACGATTGGCGACACCAGGGTGTGATGGCCGTTTTAATTTTTTTTCCCTAAGACTGGGGGAAAGCAGGTCGAGCTTTTGTGTTTGGGCATGTTCACACATTAAATACCTAGCATGGCTGGCTGGGGAATTCTGGGAGTTGAAGTCCACCCATCTTAAAAGTTGCCAAGTTTGAGAAACACTGACTTAATTAATGGCTCAATGTCTTGTACAAACTGAAAAAAAAAAGTAGGTTGAGTCGCCAGGTGTGTTGGGTGACAGTATCCTAACCTGTCAGAAAAAAGAAACTAATCTGTTCCCATATCCATTCATCTATATCAATGTTTCTCAACCTTGGCAACTTTAAGATGGGTGGACTTCAACTTCCAGAATTCCCCAGCTGGGGAATTCTGG